AGGAAGCAAGGATTTTGTTAGTGACCAATAATTAATACAAATACTACTGACAGTTTAGAGCTTTTATATTTGGAATGTGAATGCCATGCCATGACACTAGATATCAGTTGTAAATAAATTTTCTATAGAAATACATTGAAAATCTGAAAGTAAGGTAGTGTCAATGATCAGAAATTTAATACAAATATTACAGACATAAAAAATTATTATATGTTGTTTGACTATAATGCATTTTGTTATGATAAGTAAAATCTCTATCTATAAAAGGCAGAATGTGTGTGTGATGTGTGTGTGTTGCATTCAGTTTTTTGCACCAAAATTTACATGCACATGCTCCAAGTTAGCAGGAAGGCTAAGACTGACTTTGCATTTCCCATCATTTTGGAGATAATTAATTCTTTCATTTTTCTCACAACAGTTTCATGTACTTAGTCCATTTTCTAAAGCCAGATCAATTTGGTGCTTTTCTATTTTCGTGAAACCAACAGATTTAATGAAAGTTTAGTATAGATTCGTCACAAGTGTGAAAAAAAAATTTCATTTGCAAACTCAACGTTGATTCTGATTCCACAGAACTAAAAAGGTTGCTAACATTCTTTTTTTCATTCGAAGTAATTTTGTGTTCATTTGTTTAGTTCAACTTAAAAAAAATTTGCAGTGTGAGATAAAAAAGGGTAGCAACATCAATATAACAAAGGCTCCTTTAAAGGCAAGGAAGGGCAAAAATATTTTAAGTCAAGTGATAGCGATTACTGTATGAGTCGTAAAATTTTTGAATCAAGCATGGGCAATGCCAGGCCATGCTGCTAGTACAACATATATACATCATAACAACAAAGTGAGGCATTTATATATATATATATATAGAAGGATTTATTGATCAAAAGGATTTGGTTATAGCAGTTCAGTAGATATACAAAGGTTCTTGTAATGTGGTTGTTAGTAAATGTTTCTGATTTGTGCTTGTATTGTTAAATGAATAAATTATTTGCAAATGATAAGTCTATCATAAAAAGGTAATATTAAATATGAGAAAGTGACATTTGTGCAAGATTTATCTGTGGTCTTCATTCCTGGGGGTACTCAGTTCCACATGCTCTCCTTGTGAGAGACTGATAGAAAAAAGAGGAAGTCTCTAAATTTCCTGCCAGTAAGGTGGTTTCCTTTTTTCTATGGAATCATGAGTATTAATTTTTTTTTATTTCTCGTGATCACAAGATCACTACACATTAAAAACACTTTTGCTATAGAAATTAACTATAAATGAGTTTAGAAATGAATTGAAAATCAGAAAGCAAGGGATTTATCAGTTGTCAAGAATTGATATGAATATTAACAATTGAATAAGATCATTAGAAGTATAAATGGTGATAATATTTCAAACATATTAACAGCATTATTGTGTATATAAATGAATCCAGTGACCTGTATCAAATTAGATTTAACCTGATTCTTAAATCTCAAGTCTTTAAAATAAGAAACGGATTTTGTCAGACATGGTAAAAATTTATCAAGTGTAAACCTGTGTCAATATTAATTAAAACTATCAGCCATGAACAATATATAGTTTATTTATATGCATTTATGCTCTAATGCTCCAAAATTAATACCTCCCATTTATTTCCATGACAACTCCGACGAATACAAGGAGCAGAATAACACCATTGGATACATCAAGTTTTCAGCTACAAAGAACTATTTTTCCATATAGTCATCACTATTGACTATCCATTTTCACCAGCAAAAAAAAAAGTCTCTACTAATGGAGACAACCTACTTTTTATGCTGCTGATTGCATCATTGTCAAGGAAATGTTGGCTGCATTGGCCATCTTTCATTGACTCAAACAGATGAAAGTCAGTAGGTGCCAAATCTGAACTGTAAAATTGGCATGGTAGGACCATCCAACCTAAATTTGTAATATGATCCATGGCCTTCAAACTGAAATGCAGCCTGGTGTTATTGTGATGCAAGTAAAAGATTGTCTTTTTCTTTTGCTGAATCTGAAAGTTAATGTCACAATGTAATGGTCAGAGTTGAGGGTTTCTCTAGGTTTCAGGAGGATCATGACTTTCCTATTAAAAAAAAACTGTATATCATTTCACCCAATAATGGCAACATTTTTAACTTTTTCTAAGATCAATGGCTTGGAGCTAGTGAAGCCAGTGGGACTTGGCAAGAAACATACTTTTTTGAACTTTATGGACTGGCACCCCAGAATCACAAAGAATTGCACCAAATAACAAAAATAACATTACTTGAGGACTTTGAATAATAGCAATAGCTAAAATGGATAGTACATTTTTTTTTAAATTATTTCACCCCAAACAAGGCAATAAAGCCACTAAGACGCTAAGTTACTGGGTATTAGAGAATATAAGAAAACATCTGTTTATATTTCTGAGATGAGGTATTGTAACTAATTACACTACATTGTTCAAACTGTTGTCCTCATCTTTATTACCATATTCACAATGTTTCAGGCATACACTCCGGCGTTTTTCAGATGATGTACATTAAAATTTCAAACCAAATCCTTTATGGGGGTAGTTTGTTCTAAGGCACGTGAAGTGGAGTTAGAACAATGTAAATAGTATAAATATAAGAAAATATACTATTAAGGAAAAAGGACAATAAAAGAATAAAAAATTAAGAAGACAGAAGATAACAATTGACATTACATTTAAATTTTTGAAGATCAATGTTGATTAGGAAGCAATCAAGAAGTGTGATAGAAGAAACTGTTAGCATAGAACTTATGGTTAAATTTAACTATTTCAACTCTAAAATGATGAGACCCTGCAACCAATTTAGTACTGTGCTTAAATTCATAAAGTCTAGGTACCATAGGGGAAAGTTCATCAGAACAATTACTATGAAAGTATTTGTAGAAAAGATACAGTGAAGCTACGTTACAGTGGTGACTGGTTATGGAAAGTGACTGAAGCCAAGATGCCAGGTCAGGACCAATAACATTACAGATTCTTCTTTGAATTTTATCAAGAATCTCTAAATATATAGTAAGAGCACCAGTCCTAAAGGTGGCAGTAACTCAAAGAGAAAAATAGGATATAATCAAGATGTTGACATTCCACACTACTTCAAATAAAAAGTTAGAAAGGAATTCTCCATCAATACTGGAAAAAGCAATAACAGCTATTGGACTTGTGAAACCTACTTTCCTGAAAAATTGTTTCAAGATAAAGATTTTATAAATGTCAACGAACAAGCTGCTCGGTCAATGAATGCTAAATGTTTCTTTATAAGGAAAAGTCTAATATTATCACAATAGCCTAATGCAGGCATGCCAAACTCGGGACATATAGAGAGCTGCATTAACTATATCTGCAGCCTCAAGGGCCGCACCTGCTTACATTTTATCACAGCTAGTGGTAACTAAACTTTAAATACAAAATACTTACAATACAAGGTAGTACAATTTAATCATTTTTATGTTGTCCTGATGATTGACATTGCTTTAGACAAACTATTCTCAATATATCAGATTGGAATGTCTGTGTAAATTCTACTTTGATCAAAGATGACAAATGTTCATTAGTTAATCTGGTTCTGTGAGACATTTTTGTGGCCTTCATAAATGAAAATAACTGCTCACAGACATATGTGGAACCAAACATTGCAATAATCATTGTGGCAAACTTTCTGATGTTCTTAAATGTCCGAGGAAGATATGAAAAAATCCAGGTACTCCCTACTTCTAGGTACTTTCAACAGAAATTCTCGATATACCACAGCTACAGAAACCTTTGTGAGGGCCGCCAAGATGCATGTAAAAGACTGCATGCAGCCTGCAGACTGCCAGTTTGACATACTTAGCATAGTGGATTAAAGTGTTAATTTGGTGATAGTAATTGTGAGTTCAATCCCTGGTCTGGTCAGTGGAAACAGGCAGGCAATTATTGAGTAGTAGTAAAAGTAAGAACTAAACAATATATTTCTTAGACATGGGCAGTGGAATGAGAACAGTCTACTCCTGTAGATTAAATAAAAGTTTCAGTTCAGAATTAACTTTAGGTTAATCAGATTGATATACACCTGATGAATACTGGAGGGCACAATGGTTAAATCATTGTGATAATGACAACAAAAATGAGGACAATAGTTCAAATGTAAATAGTGAAAATATTATCATTATCATAGATGAGAAACTTGTACATTGTCATTCCTTGGGCTGTTGTTTTAATTCCAGTTTATTATGGTGATACCATGGTGATACCATGTCTTGTCCACAGAGATGATGTGGTTCAAAAAAAATGTTCCCTTCATCTTTATATTGCTTCATCGGGGCCCTAACAGACTCATATTCAGTATTCTTTGATTCTTGTGCAAGCATTTGTGGGACCCACCTGACACAGACTTTGTGATATCCCAACGTTATTAACATTGTTTTCAATGCATTGAAACCATCATTCAAGTCTATACATAGTTCTCTGGTCATAATTCGCAGATGAGCTGATCAAGGTGCTCTTCATTTTGTGGGTTAACAATCCGGAAGGCCTGCCCAGAACACATCTTGTCAAACACATTTGCTGTTACTACTGTTGAAAGGTATTAATTACTATCTCATATCTACTGTTTGGTCTTCTCAATTGTTTATCAAGTGTCAATGATCATAAGTGTAGTTTTTCCACGATATGCCTTTGATTCATATGCACTTTCATGTCAGACCACATTTTACCAGACTACTGGTCAACCTCTACTTATAAGTTTTTTATTGATTGATTTGTTTTTATGGCTAATCAACCTTTTGCAGGTTATTTAAAGCCAGAAAATATTTTTATATTGTAAGAAATTGGGGAAAATAACAATGATACAAGTCCTACTAATTAACCCATAGTTGGAGGGTGAAGAGGTGGATTCATACTCTTCGGAAGGGTATTTGCACATAAGTGAATATAACGAACCCAACTGGAATTGAAACTTGGCTCTCTGAGTTCCAATTCCAAGTCGTTATCCATTACACCACTCCCATATCTAAGATTACAGCAACTGGTATTTCCAAGCGGTTACCCATCTAGGTACTAACCAGGCTCAACATTGCCTAACTTTGGTGATCGCATGAGAATCAGTGTTTCACTGTGCTATGATCATAATCCTCTGTAACAAAGCAAAAATGTTATGAGTTAATGTTGGGGAAGGTCAACTACTACTGCCATGTCTGCTTCTGATATTGTGGGCCAAAATAATAAAACTGGAGGCATTGCTTTTGAAGCAACCCTCATATATATTTAGTTAACTGGCAGCAATATCAGAAAAAAGACGAGAGATTCATTATCCTGTTTTATTGATTAGGGTTTAATGATTTTTTTTATTTATTTCTTTTTGTAACTATTAGTAACAAGAAAATACAACTGGTTGGATAGCTAAAGTTGCTAAGTGTTCTCTTTTTACCAATTCAGTTGACTGCTGTTCATTTAAAAAGTGTTCTGAAAACTATTTCAAATTATAGGACAATCTCTGCCAATAAAATATATTGTGCTGGAACAAAAGTTTGTATCATTTTTTCAGTAGGTGCATTTGAACATGTGATTTTGTTTCTTTCACACATGACTGAACTTTATGTTGGATATACACATTATGAAAGGTGGCATTTCAGCACATCTTTCTATATGATTCATGTGCAGATCTTGAATTTTAAACATTTTTACATTAAAAGTGAAAATGGAAGAAAATGAGATGCATTTTTATTCCTGGAAAGGAAAAATAAATCCTGTACAAACAGGAAAAAAAAGGTATGTGCTATTTATAGAGATGGTGTCACTGTTGAGAGTACTGTTCTGTTCATAAGTAATTCACTAGGTTCAGAAGGGGAAATTTTGCTCTGGAAAACAGAGAATGTTCCAGCTGGCCTGCAGTCATTGATGATGATCAAATCAAATTTTTAATCATTTCACCCCAAGCAAGGCAATAAAGCCACTAAGACACAAGGGGTTACTGAGTGTTAGAGAGTATGAGAAAAAATACTATTAAGGAGAGACAACTATAAAATAACGAGAATTAAGACATTAGATAACGATTGAGATTGCATTTAAATTTTTGAAGATCAGTGTTGACTGGAAAGCAAGGAGCCGGAAGTGAGTTCTACAAGCAAAAAGTGCAATAGAAGAAATTGTTAGCATAGAATTTACAATTACATGCCAATTAAAAATAATTCAGGTCGCATAATAGAAGACATTACATACATATTCTATATACCAGGTGTAACAGCATAATTGTCTGATTGTTAGATTAGGCTTTGAACCATTGTACCCTAGAAATGATTAAAGATATCTTACTGGAATTCTCTGAGGGTTTTATAATACAGACTATACTTTGAACAATAAAAATGTATTTAGCTCCTAGTTGAAATGATGATCCCTCTTGCTGTTGTAACCTCCTGATCCAATTTTCCTCTATATTGTTCCCTGTTTTTTAAACTTATTCACTATTCTCTTGATGATTCTTTAATGGATTTTGAAGATGGAAGCCAGAGTATGAATGTTGGTACCATTACTGAAGGCCTGAATGAGCTTTTTCCTCTCACCATTGCTCAGTTGGGAAGAGATAGGGGATCTGACATAAAATTTTTCTAGCTGAATAACTCAAGAGATTTTTCAGTGATTATTACAAAAAATGGTATCAAGATAGTTAAACATCTTATCTGAAAACCTGGAAAAAAGAAACTCATTTAGTTTAGTGTTTTTTTTAGATATTAAACATTTTGTAGAATGGTAAATTATCCGATGCTGTTACATGATTTGTACAATTTTGCTGTTACACCCAGTATCTCATTTGAAAATACATGGATATGTGAATTGCCACAATGTTTTGGTGCCTCACGATTTAATTAAAAAAAATTATGGACTACATTTTCATCTGTAATTCTCTACTCAAATCCCCCCCACCACCACCACCACCACCAAATGGCCCATTTTGAAATGGACAATCACAAGTAATGAAAAAAGGATTGTCAAACAATGTGGAGTGGAGAAGGTCCTGGAGGAAAATGAAATGACCCACCATAAACTCAGTCTATATCTGAAGAAGGTGATGCTGTGTATCTGGTGCAAAATCAGACATTGAATTCATACAAAATACTGTTCCTATTTAGACTATACAAGCTCATGACCAGAATTCCCTATCTTCCGGTTGAGTAGCACTTGACCCCCAAAATTTTATTTATTAAATTATTTATTCCTATAATTCATTATTATTCATATTTCTGGACCACAGTGGTTGTTTTGAATCTTCCACAGCATGATTTTACAGCCAGTAGTCATATGGTGAAAAAACATTGCACTGTAAGTTCCTGCACTGTAAGAAATGTACAAATTTCTAATAAAAGCTTTAAAATAAATGAAATATATATAAAATGAGAATAAAATACATTCTGTGGTAATGAAATTTTATATATCATCTCTGGCAGAGACAGATTGGATAATAACACACACACATACACACACACACATATATGTTGCCATCCAGGATGCCTTGAGAGTGCCTTGACTGTAAATTTATCTACAGTAAATTTGTGCCCTGCCCAACATTTCACAATCCCTGGCAGATCTATCATCACAGTATGGGATACCTACTAACAAAAGTGATAGAAAGGAAAAGAAAAAGACTCTAAATGAATTCAGTGAGATATAAAAAAAAATTCTAAACTCCCCAACACCCTTCATTTATTTACATGTGTAGTTTTACCAACACAACAAATTTAGTTCAGTGAAGTCCTGAAGGATGAACTGCATCGCAAGTAAACTTTTCCCACTTTATCATATAATTTCCCAATACTGCTTTTGATACATAAAGGAGACTATTTATCGTCTCCACTCTTCACATATTTAAATTAGATTATCCCCTCTCTATCTCTTTCTCTTATATATATATATATACAAACTTTTCAACACCCTCTATTTTCTAAAATTTATATCATTCATTTTTTCAAGTCTTCTAAAGGACACAGGTTTTTCCTTAATAAGTCAGACATAGGGAGTAATAGGCTCTAAACTGATATGAAGTTTGAGTTCAGGCTTATCCTCTTCAACTGGCTGAACTCTGAAGATGAATGCATACAATCTATACTTCTATTTAATTCATAGCTAGAGGGAGAAGAAATGGATGTGTGCCTTTCTCAAGGCCATTAGTATGAAGTGAACACACTGGAGCTGAAATTTAAACTTGATAGGTTTGGTGCATTAAAATAGACTTCCAAAATTATCAGTAAATAATAATATAATGAATGAACATGTAATGACAAGGATTTGATAGCTATAGAACATGTAAATAGATTGAATACACTTATAGATAAGCTATTTAGATTTAAATATTTTCTAAAATAAAAGCTTCCAAGAGACCAGATTAAGAAAGAACACGTATCAGCAAGTAACCAATCTACTTAATATGGTTTAAGGAGTTTTATAACATCATTATAGGTTTAAATTCTAATAAGGATATCTTTATACAAAATTTAAAATTGGCAAAACTTTACAATAGCTGTGATGCAAACTTGAAGAAAAATTTGATCACTGAACATATACTTGAATGTTTGTTTTGAATAGAGGAGGACTGCCTGTAAGTTGGTTGAGAATATGAGTAAGTATTTGCACTAAAATTAGTTCATACCATTTTCACATGGGGTAAGAGGACAAATATTTATGAGGGTGGTTCCAGGTCACTTCCCTTTGTGATAGGCCTGAATGAGAATCATTTTGTCTTTTTAATATTTTAAGTAGTTTAAGTTTAAACCTTCACGGCTAGGACCCACCATGCTACTTACATAGTAGCAAACCATCTACATTCCCTTCGTATTTTATCAATGAAAAGTAAATTACACTCAAGCATCTTCTTCCTGTGAAACTAACTCCAACAGGATGTTTCCCTGATCACTACAATCTTAACTTGTTCAAGGCTAGGGTTAACCATTATCTTCCACTCCTATATACACAAATGGCCTCCAAATGTAACTCTGTACTTTGAGTGCCCCTGCCCAGACCAGAAATATTATAACAGAGGTAAATAATATCATGTCATGTCAAGCTGACATAGATAATGGGTGCGCTATAGAAGAAAGGTTTATTCTCCCATTTATTTTCCCCATTATGAGCATTATTATATCCATGAAATAATAACACCATATTTCATAGATGGAATGGAATGGCTATACACAAAATTATATATACATATATACATTTGTCCCACACAGAAAAAATATAACACATGTCTACATGATACACAGTATGAAAAGAGAACAAAAAGTTAGGGTCTTATATATAATATGGAGATTCTTCTGTGTTTCTGGAGAAGTCATATTTAGAATTCCAGATTTGAGTGGGATGGATTTATTTGCTATGTCTCTAGTGAAGGCAAATTCTACAAACAAGTAAATGGTGAGTCTTGAGTTTTTTCCAACATAAGGACCATGAGCAGGAAATATTTTCTATATCTGGTAAAGATATATTCTCATAGGAAAATGGTGCCATAGTCCAGACCAAAATAAAAACAACTGCTCAGTTTGGCTCCTGGAATCTGACTGACACTTTTGTCACTATGTAGTGACGTCACTAAACACCATCACGTGACCCATGTGACTTCATCTGCACCAAAGTGCGATAATCGCCTTTTGTATCCTTAAAAAAAAAAAGTGTTCATGCTGGAGTTTAAGCATATAATGGTGTCACAGCTTTTGAATATTTCCTCATAAGAAAACAGCTAATATTACAACTACCATATTAAGTTAAGAACAGCTTTTCAGTGAGGCTGAAGAAAAAGGGACACAAATTCGATTCTTATCAAAAGTTAGTCATTTATTCCTGATTTGCACAATCTAGACTGTGCTGTAGATTAGTAACCTGAGTAAAGTTGCAATAGAAATTCTCTAAAAGTTTAAGATAAAAGACATATTCTAGTCAAAATTAATAATTGTGTAAGTCTTCACATTGTTTAGATCACAACTGTTACAGAAAGTCAAATTCATCTGGTTGTTTTTTAAAATACATCTGTTTCATGTTTGACATGTCAGTGATATTTTTAGCTGAGGATCATTAGGGGTTTCAGGTCATTCAACATCACACCCCATCTCCATGATGATCTAGTCCAGGGCTCAGTAATCC